CTGCAGTGGTCCACGTCCCCATCAGCAGTGGACAATGACTCTTATCTCAGGCTTGCACTTGTCATGAGCTTTGATTTCCTGACACTCTGACTCTGGTGGAGAGACTCTGAGAGCAGTTTGAATTTGCATTTCCCTTGTGGCTAAGGACATTGAACTTTTACTATTATTATTATTATTATTATTATTATTATTATTATTATTATGTTTTTTTGAGACAGGGTTTCTGTGTGTAGTTTTGGTGCCTGAGTTGGATCTTTCTCTGCGGACCAGGCTGGCCTCAAACTCACAGAGATGCACCTGGCTCTGCCTCCCAAATGCTGGGACTAAAGGCATGTGCCACCACTGCCTGGCTAACTTTAATTTTTTAAACTATATACAAACCTTCTTAGATAACTCGTCAGTTCATTGGCTATTTTTAACTTTTCAAGTAAATAGATGGAACTAGAAAAGATCATATTGAGGGAGGTAACCCAGACCCAGAAAGATAAATGTTGCATTTTCTTTCTCATCAAAGGTTCATAGCTCTAAACCTTCATATGTTTGTATATAACCTGGAGTAACTGTAGACACCAGGAAAATAGAAAGAGACCATTGTTGGATGGGGTTTGGGGGGTGCAATAAAGAGGAGAAAAGTAGGGGACAGATCAGTATCTCCAGATCGGTGTCTGAAGGGAGAAATGGAACAACAGGGGGGTATAATTAGGTTGGAAGAGGGTGCTAAATAGTGAAGGAGGGGGGAAACAAAGTAACATTAAGGATGTCTGAAAAGCACCAAAGAAACTGTGCGGTTAACTATCACCTAAAAATAACTACGACACATATAAGTTAGTGTATAAATATATATATACAGTTTAAGTAAAAACTTCCAATCTGGCCGGGCGTTGGTGGCGCACGCCTTTAATCCCAGCACTCGGGAGGCAGAGGCAGGCGGATCTCTGTGAGTTCGAGGCCAGCCTGGGCTACCAAGTGAGTCCCAGGAAAGGCGCAAAGCTACACAGAGAAACCCTGTCTCGAAAAACCAAAAAAAAAAACTTCCAATCTGGCCTGACAATGCTCCCTCTAAGAGCCCAGAGAACCCACAACACCAGATTGAGAAGCCATTTTTGGAGTTGTTGGTCAATTATCCCAGAGACTCCCAAAACATTACAGGCTGTTGTTCTTGCTTTGACTGCCCCTTAGAGGTGAAAAGTAGCCAATGTTTTGAGCTGCTGATTCTCTGAAGGCTAGTTCTTGAAGTTGCTTATATATTCTAGAATATTAATCTCCTGTCTTAGATTTGTTGTCAAAATATTCCCCCATTCTGTATGCTTTGTCTTCAGTCTGTTGATTTTTTTCTTGGTGGTGCAGAAGCTCATTTACTTTTTTTTTTTTTTTTTTTGCAATCAGTTATGGCCTGTCCTGCAATGATATCCTGTGCTATCATCCCTTTCAGACAGCTCTAGTCTGCTTGATATTGATGCATTTTCCTGTATTGTCTGGCAGTAGTTTAGAAGTTTTGGCTATTACATTAAGGTCTTTGATCCTGTTGAACGAACACTTGACTATGTGTTGAGAGAATGTGTCTATGGAACTAGTTTCTGTCATCTACATTTAGATATCCAGTTTTCCCAGTGCCAATTATTGAAGAGGTTATCAGTTTTTAAATACACACTTTGACACCATTATCAAACATTAGGGGACTTGGGTTGTAGGTGTTTATTTCTGAGTCTTGAGTTCCATTCCTTAGATTTGTATGACATTTATTCCGATACAGTGCTGATTTTGTCACTGTGACTCTACAATGTAAAGTGACATTAGTTACAGTGATACTTTACCATTATTCTGTCTAGTATTTTTTTGGACTAAAGTTTTTTGTGCTTCAAAATAAAATTTAGAATTGAGACTTGAAGGTTTCAGAAGACTATCACTAGAAGTTTAAAATTCTAGTTGCATTTAGTAATATAGCCATCTTTCAAAATTATGCCAATCGATGAGCTTGGGACTCCTTTCCATCTTCAAGAGTCTCATGAATTTTTTTCATAATTGTCTTGATATTTTTGTTGAAGAGGACCTTTACTACATTGTTTAAGTGGATGTGGTTGTTGTTGTTGTTATTGTTGTTGGATGCTTTGTGACTTCATTCTTCGTATTTTTGTTGGACATATAGAATACTATTCATATTTTAAGTGTTTTATACCTTGAAAGCTCTATATGTATATAAAGTATTTAGTCATTGTCATCCCTCATTAAAATTTCTTGCCTCCCACTCCCACTGTTTTTCTCCAACATATCTCTCTTCTACCTTAATGCCTTTTTTGAGTGTGTGGCCCATTGAGTCTAATTATGATTGCTTGCATGTGTCTGGGTGGGAGTTTTATTGACTAAGATACACAGTGCTTAATGGTCTATATGGATTTTGGAAGCATCACGTTCCTCACTTGGATGTGTTATTCTAACCATATAGCTAGTGAACTTTAAAGCTGCTAGTTATGAGTTCAGCCAGAACAAAATAAGGCTTTTCAACAAATCCTTGCTGCTATGTAGAATGTTCTGTCACTTGACCTATTTACCCAAAATATTTGATCAAACCTGAGTCCTCAGTAACAGATAGGAATGCTGTCTGGAGTCTGTGGCAGAACCCATAAATGATTCTCAGCAGAGGCCCTTGATGTCTGTGAAAACACACACACACACACACACACACACACACACACACACACACACACACACACCATACAAACAAACAAAAAATCCGAAACAAAACAGTGCATTGAAATGATAAAAAAAAAGAACAGTTCAAGACATAAAAGTAGAAATAGAATCTCTAAGGAAAATCCAAAATGAGATAAAACAGGAAATGAAAAATTTAGAAAATCACACAAAACCTTCAGAGGTAAGTCCCAAGAACAGAGTACAAGACATGGAAGGGAGAATCTCAGACAGTGAAGACAAGGTCGAAGAAATGAACACCTCAGTCAAAGAAAACACTAAATCTAAAAAGATCCAGGCAAAAATACCCAGGAAATGTGGGAAACTATGAAAAACCAAATCTATGAGTAATAGGAGCAGTGGAAGGAGGAGAAACCCAAGTCAAAGGCACAGGAAAGGTTTTCAATAAAAACAAAGAAGGAAATTTCCATAACCCAAAGGAGGTGCCTATCAAGGTACAAAAAGCATATAGAACACTAAAAACACAAGACCAGAAAATAAATCCTCAAGACACATAAGAATTAAAACACTAAACATGCAGATCAAAGGAAGATATTAAGAGATGCAAGGGGAAAAGACCAAGCAACATGAAGGCACACCTGTCGGAATAACACTGAACTTCTCAATGGAGACTCAAGACACAGGAGGGCCTGGACAGACATACAGACTCTAGGAGGCAACAGAGTCTGAACATCTCTAGACAGACAACTCTAGCCAGCTAGACTTTATCATTAGATGATAAAAACAAATTTAAACACTATCTACCTACAAATCCAGCTCTACAGAAAGTACTGGTAGAAGAACTTAACTATGCTTAAATACTCACCAACTGCTGGTGTGAAAGGACAGATCTGATCCTCTTTACCCCTTTGATCCTGCTGCCAAAAGCCATGCTGCAATTAAGGCAAAGTTTGTCTAAGAGAGCAGCCCTCCAGTCTTTTCTCAATAACATTTATGTTTTAAACACAAGTGCAGAACACTAAGCAAAGATTATACCATAACTACATTCCCAAACCCCAACCAAGTACACTGCAAACATGCAGAGATTTCTTTCATTTTGTTTGTAATGTGAATCTCAACTTTGTTCTTATTATCTGTATATTTCAATTTGCTGTGCAGACTTCCATCTACCTTGACTGAGGGGAAAGGCATATACATTCTATAGGGCTGTATCTATCCAACTCTGCCTGTAAGAAACACATGAACATCCTTAAATATCAATTATCTGTCTGACAAATGTACAGTAAAATTTCAAAAAACTCAAAAGAAAATGGGCATGGATCTACTTTTTTATCTTTTCCTGTGATATACTAAAATAAAAACAAGCTTCAGATCTCTTCACATGCAGTAATTTACATTCTGTGTTTTCCAGTCACACCTGTATCCTCTTTCCTGACTTTTGCTACATCTGCTCTGTGATCATATGCCCAGCTGTGCTAGTCAGGGTAATGGTGAAGTTCACACAGCAGTTTTCATGTGTCCAGTCAAACCTTGTAGGCCACCTTTTGGAACACACGAGCCATCTCTTCTTTGGTTCAGGCAACTCAGATGATCTTTATTTATAATGAGAATTCCTGGGCTGAGACACTGATGGTCAGGTTGAGTGACCAGTATTTCTAACATCTCTAGTTTGGGGGTGATTATGTCATCTACTCTGAAGATGCTCCTGTCTGTCATAGGCTGGGTTTCAGACAGGGCAGATGCAGACACCTACACATTTCTTGATTCTTCTGATGTGCTGTCTGCAGCGCCCCCACAGTTCTTAGATTAGCATATGCTCTGCACACAGACACAGAATTTGAGGTAGGACTGTGGAACACACTAGCTGTCCCCATTGTTGTCATCCTGCCATAATTTTGCTGTCCCTGAAAATATTTTGTAACAAACAGAATATTCTGTGAGTCTTAGAATTCTCAGAAAAGTCACAGCCTATAAAACACAGCTTGGGCCTGAGGTCTAGTTTGTCTCCTGAGCCATATTTTTTAGCTTTATGGCCTAGAGCACTAGCTGAGCTTGCACGTGATACCAGGTGGTGGGCCAAAGCCTCCAGGTAGGGAGAGCCACCACCTGGAGGGGATTGGATTGGAGGCGGAGCTGAGCCTGTGCCCCCTGGGGCCTCTGTATTTAAGCAGCTCCTAGCCAGCCTAGGACAATGCAGTACTGGCTTCAACCTCTACCTTGGAAACTACAAATTTCAGGCAAGAATCAGACACCAGCCAAGGTGCATAGGGCAGGAGATGCAGCTGACTGACGCTGCAAAAAATATTTCAATAGTTTTGGTTTGGCTAACCCTAGACTTCTTTCTCTAGGTTTTTTGATAACTGACTCCTGCTGTGTTCGTAACCATCCTTTGCTTGGAAATGGCTTCAGCTTCTCCATCACCTGATCCCAGTTTGGATGCGGAATGGCAGGAGTGGAAAAGGAAATATGAGAAAACGTACAGCCAGGTTGGTAACATATTAACAGTCCAGAGGGATCTCAAAGAGAATGATCTTAACTGTAAGGAATTCCTGAATATAAAAGTGGCCACAGAGACCAGTTGTCACCAGGAATTGCCTAAAGACATGTCTTATGAACTCAAGGTGGCCAGCATTTCTTATCCTCTGAGTGTGGAGAACGTACTGTCCTGAGATCCCTCTCCATGGATCCTCTTTACCTCTCACTACACTTTACTTGGTCAGCTTGTGTGGGGGTTAATATGAAAGAAATATTATCTTTTGTATTCATTTCCAGGATGAAGAAGGACACAGGAGAATGGTGTGGGAGGAAAATAAGAAGAAAATTGAGGAGCACAATGCAGAATATGAGCAGGGCATGGCCAGCTTCTGCATGGGCCTGAATGAATTTAGTGATTTGGTGAGTGACATGGGAATTGTTAACTCTGTAGTTTTTCTTTTCACATTTTCTGGTATCTGTTGGTTTTCAATGTTTTATTTGGTTTTCCATAAAGACTAATGATGAATTCTGGGAAGTGATAACTCGCTCTTCAGACTCAGTATTAGAAGACCAGGAGATAATCAACACACATCTCTTTAGTGATATTCCTGAATTTGAGGATTTGACAGAGGAAAACAATATGATACCTGAGAAGGATCAGGTATGACAGTGTCACATCCCCACCCTCAACTACCCACAAGAAAGCCAAGAAGGAACTGAAGTTCTCACTTACGTCAGCTATGGAAAAACACACAGTTCACTGTTGACTAAGTGTTCAGCTCTGTGAATAGCAGCTAGAGTTGATATTTGGTTATGGATGACAACTTTTTCTTCTTGCTCATGGTAGATGTTCTGTTAGTTTGGTGAATATGGCTGGTGAACATGAATGGTAGAAGTCCAGCACAGACACTGTGATAAAGCCACTGTGCTGCATTCTTTCAAGTTAATGCTATGTGTGTTTTTCTTCCAGCCAGAGTAACAGTTGGGACTTGGATGGCAACACAAAGATAGCCAAGGAGTGAAGGAATTACTGTGCCATTGCCCAAGGAACCTTCGGCCCCAAGATGTGAGCTGCACGGGTGTTGACAAGACTAGACTATGGGAAAAGAAGAAATAGCAGGGGATTCCTTATTATTACGGCCAGCCTATACTATGAGGGATCCAACACTCAAGACCTGTAAGGTCCACACTGTTATGTGAACTCTGTGTCATGTTCATACTAACAAAACCTTACCAATATTTTATTACATGCTCTGAAGTCTGTTATGTTATTGATTCTCACAAGGATCTTTAAATTTTTCTTAAATAAAAAGAACATATACTGTAATGTCTAAAAAAAAAAAGCTTGGTTTTAAATGCAGTATTCTGCTTTCTTTCTGGTTTTGTTTCTGTAGGTTTTTATGTGGTTAAGCAAATAATTCTGCTTTATGGTACACCTGTGTAAATGGCTTTCTGGGAGGTAGTGTTTGTGGCTCTTTTCAGTATAAAGTCAGTATTGCATCCTTGGCTGAGCTTGGTTTCCAGGGTTTTAGATGCCCTCTTTCAGCAATGATCTGAAAGTCTATTTGAAAATTTCTACAACTCAATGATTTTAATTCACACGAACTTGACAAGTGCAAACTGTTTGTCACTCAGTGCAAAGAGAAGGCACCGTCTTCAGTTCCACTACACCGACCTGTGCCATGAATATCTTTTCTAATGAACAGATCAGAACTGTGTTCTAGTTGCACTGTGGCCTTGTAGAAGCCACCTAGAGAATAAGGTCTGTGGTCACAAAAGTGTAGGTCATGCTCAAGTGACCCTTTCATAACCCAACACAACCCAGTCATGGAAGACATTCATAGCTATGTCAGTATGCAAGATGTCTTTTGTGTTTTCGTATAAATTTTAGAGGTGGTTTATACTTTTCTGAGGAACATTGGAATTTAGTAAAAAAAAAAAAAAAAAAAAAAAACCATTAGCTAGATAGCTTTTGATAGTCTACTAACTTTTACACTGCCATACCGATCCATGAGCGATCTTTCTATCTTCAAGCTTCATCCATTGTCTCTTTGTTGTCCTGCTGTTTCCATTGCAGAGGCCCTTTACCACCTTGGTTAGGTGTATTCCTGGGTAATTTTTCAACTTTGTGAATTGAATTTTTTTCCTGACTTCTTTCTCTTTAAAGTTTGTGTTTGACATACAGAAAGCTGTTCATGTTTAATTATTTTATTCTTTGACAGTTTTATATATACATAACTAATTTAGTCATTTCTGTCCCTCATTATACTTTCTTACCTCCTGCCTGTCATTTAAACTGATTTTCTCCAACAAATATCCCTTCTGCCTTAATGGCTCTTTTCAGTGAGTGACTCACTGAGTTTAATTCCAGTTGCTTGCTTGTGCCTGGGTGGAAGTCTATTGACTAAGATGCACAGAGCTTAGTGGCCTGTTTGGATTTTGAAAGCAGCACATTCCTCTCTTAAATGCGTTACTCTAACCCAAATAGCAAGTGAACCTTAAAGCTGTTAGATTTGAGTGGAGTCAGAACAAAATATGGGTTTTCAGTGGGTCCAGGCTTCTGTGTAGAATGTTCTGTCACTTGATTCACACAATCCAGCATACTTGATTAGACCACAGGTCTCAATGGCACATAAGAATGCTGTTTAGAGTTTATGGCAGACTCCATAAGTGAATTTCAGGAGATGCCCTTGAAAATTTGGAGCAGAGTCCTCTCTCTGATCATCTTTAGCCAAATTCTCTCCTCTGAAAAACAACTGTGGGCTTGTTATTGGGCCTTCATGAGAACTGAATACTTGGCAATAGAACACCAAATTACCATGTGATCTGAGCAGTACTTCATGAATTGAGATTTATTGGACTCACTAAGCCATGAAATTAGACATTCATAGATGCAATCTTTTATCAAATAGCTATGATGTATGTGGTTGAACAGGTCCTGAAAGAACAAGCAATTTACATGAAGAAATTGTCCAAATGCCTATGGTTCCTAGATATGTAACAATGTCTTTCTACTGCAAACATGTACCTATGGCCTCATAAAATAATTGAGTAAGAGGTCAGGCAGGGTGTGGCACTGATGGTTCTTCACACTAAGCAGGAACCACCCAGAAGGGGACATCTATGTTATTAGAGCCCCTTGCTGGGACAACCATGAAAGCACTGGTGAAGAGACCACCTCACAATGGGCAGAACTCTGGGCAAGGAACAGGTCATATGTTTCCCTTGGAAGAAATGACCAGATGTTAACTCGATTCTGATTTGTGGGCCATAGTCAAAGGTTTGGCTTTGTGTCAGAGACTTACTTAGGAAGGTGAATAATTGGAAAATTGGTGAGAAGATATTCGGAGAATAGATATTGTTATAGGAGTAGTCAAGGCCCATTAAGGGAAAATTATTTTCTTCAGATCCACACAATAGGACTTCTGGTGTGGTTGGACCCTGACATTCAATTTGGGCAGGTCAGAAACCTACCTAAGGGACCATCCCTCAGGGAGACAGGACTACCCCTCTGGAAGGCAGAACTTCAGTAAGCCATGCTAAGGAGACAGGAGGAATAATTATCCCTTTAATGAGATAATCACTCTGTTTTTTAGAATCCCCACTCTATCATAACAGCTCACAGTGGCTTTGTTCTGATTCACTCAGAGAAGTATGCCTGGTTCTTTCCTTCTTCCTGCCTGTGTTCCAAACACACTTTCACTAATACTTTGGGATTTGCTGTGTTTAAAGCTCCCCTCCCTGCCCTGAGGCTGCTTGTCCACCATGTGGCTGACTTCCGTGCCAGCCTAACTCAGATGGCATGGCTTCCTGTTTTTTTCACTATCTTACTCCTCCAGGAAGCTCCTGGGACCCACAGCTTGCTTACTTTGAGGTTTTCTTTTAAATCCTACTAAAGCTGTTATTACACTTTTTAGTTCATTCTTAAGGTATTTTATTAGCATGACTAAGCTACTCAAATTCTTGGGGACCTCAATTTTCCTAGTAACATGTAATTGACTCTGGCATGACTATCCAAGATTTCTGATAACCATATGTTGATTGATCTCTTCAAATGGTAAAATGTCTTAAAGATACTTAATGTCTCATGAAAATATTCATCAAAAGCTAATTTCAGCAAAGGAGATGCTCACTAATTAGAGGATATTGTGAGTTATTCTATGGAACATCAGCCTCTTTCACTGGCCATAACCATTATTGCTCAGTGGGTCCAAGAATAAAGGGGCAGTTGTGCAGAAATGGAGGCTGAATATGGACTCAACAATGTGGTCTTCCACACACCAAAACTGACAGGATATTACTACTGCTTAGCACCAAATATTCCAAAAGTGGGGATCAATACTGAGCCCTAGATATGGTTCTTTTCTCTGGGGTGACTTGGTGGCAAGATCACTAAATTGGACTATTTGCATCCTGGGAAGGGTTGTGCTTCATTTTTTATTGAATTGACACATATTCTGGCTACAGGTTTGTCTTCTTGTACATTAGTCTCCTGCCAAAAATATTTTCTTAGACTTATAGGTGCCTTATCCACTGTTGTGGTGTTCCACACAGTATTATTTCTGAATAAGCAACTTCATGGTAAATAAGTGTGGCAGTGGACCCTTGAAATACACTAGTCTTATCAAATACCCCACCATTCTGAGGCAGCTGGTTTAATAGAAAGAAATATGGTCTTCTAGAGACACAGTCACAGCACCAATTAGGTAGTAATAGCATGGTGGACTAGGGATAGGTTCTCTGGATGACTTCTCTTATAGCCAAGAGTCCACTGATTCAGGAACAAAGTGGTAGCCATGGGAATGGCACCACTCAGCATTACCCCTGGTAACCCACTAAGAAAAAATTTTCTTCCCCAAACTTTATTACTAGGTGTCCTAAAAATTTTGTATCCAGAGATTTGAGGGCTTCTGTCAGGAGGTACAACAAAAATTCCATTGAACTGGAAGCTAAGACTTCCTCCTGGCCACTTTGGGCTCCTGATATTTTTAAGTCAAGAGGCTAAGAGAGGAATAACAGTATTAGGAAGAGTGATTGATACAGACTAAAATATGTGAACCTATTTTCCACAATGGAGGTAAGGAAGAGTTTGGAGTGCACAAGATCCTTTAGGGTACATCATGGTATGGCCATGTCATATCACTAAGGCCAATATGAAACTACACAAATCCAATCAAAGCATATGATAAATGGCTCAGACCCTTCAAGAATGAAGATATTGTTACTTTACCAGGTGGCATGGGAAGTGAGTGATGCATGATGTGACTAGAGACATAGTTAAAGACCACAGACTTGTGGAAAAAATATTTCATGTCATCATATTAGGAGTTCCCCCTGGCCTCTGAGGTTATAGTGTCCCAGTGAGAGGAGGAGCCAGGGACACTGGTAACAGAAGATACTGGTGGCCAGGAGAGATGTGCTGACACCTGCAGGAGTTGTTCAGGTTCTGTCACTTTGTGAACCATGCCACCACAAGTCACTGACTTTTCACAAAGGCTTTCCCCCTTGCGATCTATGCAGCCCGCTGACTCTTCAGCTGCCTGGAGTCAGCTGCAACCTGGTGCCCCACCACCCTGGGTCCGCCCCACCACTCTGGGTCCTAGCCAAATGAGCTTCTGCCCATCCCCCACCCCCCCATACCTGCTTTTCAGGCCACTCCCTTGCCCTGCCGGTGGTGTAGTACAAATACCTGGGCCGAGCAGAGCAAGCCAGCTGCTCCCTTCTCAGGCCAGTCCTACAGGGACAGCACAAGCACCAGGAACCAGCAGAACTAGTCTAGATGCCTGGCCACCCGCTACAGCCACCACCACTGCCGTGGCCCCCACTGCCGTGGCCCCCACTCGCAGTGCCCCATTTGAGGGTTGGGATTTTACTGTTGCTGCCACGACCACAAGCACCACTGTGCTGAGCAGCCACAGTTAGCCACCACTAGAGTCAGGTGGGGCAGTCCTATCCCATGCTGCTGTGTCCCAGCCACCCAGGTTTCTTTTACCAGTTTCTCTACATTAGCTCTTCAGGTGGCTCACCACCACCCCACTCCCCCATGTGAGCTGCATGTGAGCTGCATGAGTGCTGCATGTAAGCAACCACAGTGCCTTCCCACCCCAGCTCAGACATGCACTTTGCACAGCTGGCCCACCTCCGCTGGTGCCGAAGCCCAGAGATCATTCGTGATGGCTGGTCCCTGGGCTCCAGATTCTGAGCCAGAGCGCTTGGTCGCTCTTGCACTTGGTAGCAGCTCCAATCCTGCCTCAGTGCCAAGCCTGCC